GGGAACAGGGTTGCCACCTCTGGGTTGGGAAATACTTGCAGATTTTAGGGGCGGAGCCTAAGGAAGGTGTGGTTTGAGGACAGCAGGGACCTCCATCCACCCTCCAAAGTAGCCGTTTTCTCCAGGGGAACTGATCTCTGTTACCTGGAGATCAGTTTTAATTCTCTGGCCTTCTACCCCGCTGAGGTACCTCCCTTCCCCATGCCCTGCCATCCCCTGGGTCCCCCCCACACTAAATTTCCAGGAAATCTCCCCTGGGTCCCCCCCACACTAAATCTTCCAACCTGGACTTGGAAGCCCCATCAGAACAGATCCTTTGAAGCCCTCTTGCTGGCCCCATGTTTTTCTCACCTGCAGCTCAAAATTTCTTCGGGCCTGATCTGGGGCAATGGCTCCACCGGCTTAAACATCTCGTCCCCCCGAGCCCTTTCAAGCATGGTCTTGAGCTTCTTCTGGAGCACGGGGAACCCCGAGACCGAGTTATGAGGTGGCACCTTCGAAAAGGAGAACCTGTCTCCTTTGGTCGACAGCCTCTGCAAGGAAGGGAAGAGGGCCATGGCTTCTTGGAGGGAGACGCTGTTCTCCAAGCTGGGCTGTCGGGGGGTGCTTCCCTTCCTGGAGTCCCTGCTAGGGGGGAATGCCACGCTGTTCCTGGGACCGAAGGCATGCCTGGCCAAGAGGGTCTGCATGGGCAAATCGTTTCCACTGAAGGGCGTGAGATCTTTGGAATTCTTTCGGTCTGGGACAAAAAAAACAACACCATTGAGAGTGTTACATTAGCTTCCATTCACAGTCCAGGGCAGTGGTTCCCAAGCATTTTGGTATGGGGGCCCACAAGTCCAAATTTACTTGATACAGTGACCCATCCGGGACTGCTTCAAGGTTGTTGTTTTTTAAAACACTCTAGGCAAACCAGGGCTATTTTTGGGCAGGAACGCACAGGAACGGAGTTCCGGCTGGCTCCTGAGTTGGCCACGCCCAGCAGGAACTCATTAGCATAACAGGCCACACCCAAAAGCAGAAACCCATTAGGATTGGCTACATTAGGGGTGTGTGGCCTAATATGCAAAGGGGTTCCTGCTACAAAAAAAGGCCCTGGGTTTTGACAACAAACAAGGTAAACAGAATAAGAAGCAAAAGGTGGGTGTGGCTGGATGACCACACTTCTGGTAACATGGGGTGTGTGGCCTAATATGCTAATGAGCTGTGCTATCAGGGGTGTGGCCTAATATGCTAATGTATATCTGCTGTTGGGTGGGGCCTATTATGCTAATGAGTTCCTGCTGGGCTTTTTCTACAAAAAGAGCCCTGAGGCAAACTATGACCTTGGCACGCATCCAGTTCAGCATTCCGTTTTCTACAGAGGCTAACCAGCGGAACAGGCTTCCTCGGGAGGTGGTGGGCTCTCCTTCTTGGGAGGCTTTCAAGCAGAGGCTCGATGGCTATCTGACAGCAATGCGGAGTCTCTGAACTTAGGCAGATCATGAGAGGGAGGGCAGGAAGGGTTATCAGTGCTTCGTTCTTGTGGCCCTTCCTTACGCGACCAAGGAAATGATGACTGCCACGTTGGGTTCAGGAAGCCATTTTTCTCCGGGCCAGGTTGGCTGGAGATCCCGGAGGTTTTTTGTCATCTTCTGGGCATGAGTCACGGGCAATGCTCCCTTTAAGCTGTGGAGTCTTGTGAGCAAACATTCTACTTTGTGAACTACTGGCATTATGAGCGAGCGATTTGGCTACTGCATAAATTAGTTTGCTTTGGAGGCATCCTTTCTGAGCTAAGGCAAAAATGTGTGAGCCGGAGGCTAGAAAACTGTGAGCTGGCTCACACTCACTCAGCTTAGAGGGAACACTGGCCCTGCTCCCAGGCCCCACCTCCATGCTGCCGATCAGCTGCCTGGCAGAGGGGGAACTCACCCAGAAAAAGAGGGAGATCCAGCATAATTTCCCATGTGACCCAGAAGTGACATCATCACTTCCAGGACATCAGTGGTGCCACTGTGGTATTCCGGCAAACACTCTATGGTAGAAGCCAGATTTACCATAGAGTTTTTGTCCAAATACCAGGGTGTCAACCCAACATCCCGGAAGGAGGGGCCTGGCAACCCTAATCCCTTGTAGCTCCTCCCCTGCCACAAATTTTGTTAGTTTTTAAGGTGCTCCTGGACTCTTACTCTTTTCTACTGCTACAGACAGACTAACATGACGACCCATCTTGTTCTATACTCCAGTTTTCTTCTCAATGGAAATCCAAGGTGATTTGCAGCAACCACTTCCCCATCTTCATCTTATTCTCAGCCCAACCACCTTGAAAGACAGATTAGGCCAAGGAAGGGTGGATGGGCCGAGGTCCCCCGCTGAGCCTCCGTGGCGGAGTTTGCCAGAGTCTTAGCCTGCCATTCTCGGTGCGGTCCCGTGCCGTTATCATTTTTGTTTTGCTGCTTGTCTTCTGCTTCAACTCAACACTGATTATATCCCTTCCAAACAAACCTTGGGGGAACCTCCGGGCGATAAGGCTCGCAAATAAGGCATTTCCTACCATAACTTGGTCTTTTGGTCGGGAGTCGCAGAAAACTGACAAAGTTGGGCAGATGGTCTCCAAACTGACTCCAGGTTATATCGAGGGACCCTTTCGCAGAGGCTGGTTGTGTCCCATGGCTTGACTCAGGATAGCTGCCTGATGCCTTGGAAGGGAAACAGGTATTAGTGGCTCTCATTGATTTACTAACTTACATACTGTGCCATTTATGTCCATCCTTTCCTCCATCATGGAACCCAACGGTTACCAGAATGCCAGGGCAATGGCTTAGTGCCCGAGTCTCTTCTTTGCGTGTAGAAGGTCCCAGATCCCTGGCCTCTCCAGTTAAAGTGATCAGGTAGGAGGTGACGTGGAAGACCTCATTCTGAGATCCTGGAGAGCTGCTGCCAGCCAGAGTAGAAGAAACCAACCTTGATAGACCAATGGTCTGATTCAGAGCACAACAGCATCACCTGTTCAAATCTCACTGCTCCATGAACTCACTAAGTAGCCTTAGGCTGTGATCGCATGTGCCTTTAGAGCCGACATAGCTGCGAATGCCTGACGGATCTAAAGGGAACGATCAGACAGCAACATCTGGGAAGCGTCCTGCAGTCGTGGGCAACCCGTGCTGCTCTGCTATGGAAGCGCAGTTAAAAGACAACGGGGGAAGTCCGGTGGTAAACGGGTCCCAACGGGCCACAGATGGACTTTCCCATCTGATCATGCGAGCACGCACTCATGCTGTCAGGCCATCCCGGCTCAGTGCCGCCCCCCCCCCGACAGTATGCACATCATTGCATACTCCATAGGAGGCTCTCAGTGCAGAGGTGGGATCCCTTGTTTATGCACATGGGAAACAAACAGCCCCCCCCAAAAAAAGACTCACCCGCAGTTGCATCTGATCACACAGTGACGGGCTCTGCCTGCAGCTACAAAGGGATGTGTGATCGTGCAACCGTGTGTCAAATTCTTTTGGAGGAAACAGCCTCGTTTCCCCTCCGCTTCAACTGGCGTGTGTGACCCCAACCTTAGCGACATTGCATTATACATTATAATGCTGACATTGTAATTCTGATATACCTTACCGGTATTTGGGAGCATTATAACAAGGTACTGCATGTTCTTGAACACTGGACTTGCTCTGTAAATGTTACGTTATGCTTAGGACAGGGGTTTGCCTTGGTGGGGCCACCTTTGCATACATGAGGTTCCGTCCCATCCACCTCCACTTAGAGCTGAGATTAATTAGCAATAGGCTTAGAACAGATAAAAGGAAGTGCTTCTTCTTTCAAATAGTAATTGACATGTGGAATTCACTGCTTCAGGGAGTGGTGGCGGCTACAATCATAAACAGCTTCAAGAGGGGGCTGGATAAACATGGAGCAGAGGTCCAAGGTATAGATGGAACACTATGTCTGGGGGAAGTGATGCTTTGTATTCTTGGTGCTTGGGGTGGCAACAGTGGGAGGGCTTCTGGAGTTCTGGCCCTGCTGGTGGACCACTCAGAGTCTCAGAACGGCTTACAATCTCCTTTCCCTTCCCCTCCCCACACCAGATACCCTGAGAGGTAGATGGGGCTGAGAGAGCTCTTTCCAGAACTGTCCTTGAGATAACAGCTCTGACAGAACTATGGCTTGCCCAAGGTCATCCAGCAGCTGCAAATAGAGGAGTGGGAAATCAAATCCGGTTCTCCCAGATTAGAGCCTGCGCACTTAACCACTACATCAAACTGTATGTCCCTGCTTTCTAGTAGATTTAGTATTGTACACAATAAGATATGCAAGTGCCTGGTGATGTCTCTTCTGGGCCTAGCCTCAGAAATAGGATGGGAGGTTAGACGATGAAGACATAAACCACAAACAGTTGCCTACTGCTGAGTAAATGCCTGTTATCTTTAGGGTTGGGGTGCCTTTGTGACCACGTGCTGAAATGTGCCTTAAAGACGTGTAATTGGTAAATGTAGAAAATGATAATGAAAACATCGTGAATACGTCGTGGATAGGTCACAGGGTAACTGGAGACTAAAGATCATGCTATATTATGCACGGTGTGCCTGTTAGAACTTTGGAGACCAACTTTCAGTGTCCTGGGTAAGGACCCCTCTGTAGTTCGAACTACTTAATAAAACCTTTTCTGCTGAAGTCCACTGTCTCTATCTGAACCCCTCATTGGGACCCTCAAAATCTTCCCCATCAATAGCAGCTGTGGGTGGTCTTGGTTTTGAATGGAACTATTTAGGCTTGCATGTGTATGGAGTGGGGTGGAATATTATATTACGTTGTGTTGTATTACATTCATTGTTTGTTTTCTTCATTTGTACCCAGCCTTTCCCTCCAATGGGGACCCGAGCCGGGTTACAACATTCTCCTCTCCTCCATTTTATACACACAACAACCCTGTGAGGTAGGTTAGGCTGAGAAAGTGTGACTGGCCCACGTTCACCCAGTAAGCTTCCGTGGCATGAGAGAGGATTCGAGCCCAGTTCTCCCAGAAACTAGTCCGACACTCTTAACTACTACACCACACCGGCTCTCCAGTTGTCGACGTAGTCACTGTTGTTGTCCTTATTAAACAACTTTTCTCTACCCCGACTCAGCTACCCCCTCTGAGTTTTTTTTTTGTCCCATTGCAGACACCAAAAATCAGCAAATACCGTGCTACAGACGATTATAAAAGATCTCAAATAATTTTTATATATTTTTTGTTTTATATATTTTTACAATTTATTCACCATATATTATTTATCATATAAGCCTTAATACATAGAAAGAACTGTATATCAAAATATCGTCTCTTAATATATCACAAAAGATATTGCTGCTTCAGACGAACACAATTCCCCTCCTGAATTTACCTGTCGGGATGGGATTCTGCTAACAGCCCTCTTCCTCTGACATCTGGGGCTTTCTACCATCACAGGGGGCTCTCCTGCCACTGGGAAAACCTCTTGTGTTGGCAAAAGGCTCCTTGTGAGGAGAAAAGGGGGCTGCATCGTGGCAAAACGAAGATGAAGAAACAAACTGGTGCAGAGGGAAACAGAAACAGAGAGCCAGTTTGGTGTAGTGGTCAAGAGCGCAGACTCTAATCTGGGAGAACCAGGTTTGATTCCCCACTCTTCCACATGCAGCTGCTGGCGTGACCTTGGGTCAGTCATAAACCAAGGTGATTTTGTGTAGTGGTTAAGTGCATGGACTGGACTCTAATCTGGGAGAACTGGGTTTGATTCCCCCCCACTCCTCCACTTGCACCTGCTGGATGACCTTGGGCAAGCCATAGTTCTTTCAGAGCTGTTCTCTCAAGAGCAGTTCTCTCAGAGCTCTCTCAGCCCTGCCTACCTCACAGGGTGTCTGTTGTGGGGAGGGGAAGGGAAAGGAGTTTGTATGCCACTCTGAGACTACCTTAAGGTAGTGAAGGGCGGGATATAAATCCAATCTCTTCTCCTCCTCTTCTCCTAGTATAATTGTACAGCTCCTACACATTTTGCATGCAGTTTCGTCAGGGGGAATCTACTGGAATAATTTTTTAAAAAAATGCAAGGACATATTTGATACATCGTTTTTTAAAATTTTTTATAAAACACAGGACAATTTCACAGAGCATGTGCAGAGTGAAATTCATCATTAGTTGTTCGTATTAAGAAGGCTGCTTGTGTCAGATCCGTGTCTGATCCAACAAGGCCCTTCTCGTGCTCACAAAGCGTGACAGATGCACGGTCCATCTCATTATGCATTTTAAACTGAGCCGCTTTTAGGTACTTGAAGAGGGGAACAAAGCTCCAAGTTGCTGGCACACTTTCTCCTCTTTCTCTTTTTCTTTTTTACTGGCAGCTGGTGGGTAAACACGCTGCTTTTTAAAAAAGGAGCGCGTCTTTCCCCTTTTCTCTTCGGTTAGTGTTTGCAAAGGCAAAGTGAACAGCAGATGGCAAATACAGACAAATGTTTCCCAAGAGACGCTGATCTACTACTTAAGATAAATAGGATCCGAGGGACTCAAGAGCTGGTGGCGAGCCCTTTTTCTCCATTCTGAATGGAGAGGATGAAAGGGTGGCAGGAATCCGGAGTTGTTTTTTTCTCAACAGTGTATGGATTTCAGTGTATGGATATTTCCCCCCCCCTTCCGTAGCGGGCAGAGAATGTTTCGACCGCTGCGTGCAAGGAAGAGGCTTTGGCGGTTTATTTTAATTGGTGCATTTTAATGATGGGGCTCCGCGATCCCCCGAGGAAGATGGGAAAGGTGACGCACGGCTTGGACAAAGGAAAGAAGTGCGTTCTGAGGCTGGATCTGCCTGTCGTGTGTGTTGTGAACAGGGATCCAGTATTTGTGAAGTCGTCTCCTATGTCAGGGGAGAAAGAGAAATTCCTGGTGTGTCCACAGTCGGCCTAGTGGGGTGGCTGTTCCAGGCCACAGATCAGCAGGGGGCCCCTCAGCCCTCCCAGAGAACCTCCTCCAGGTGGTTCTAGGGTTGCCAGTCTCCAGGTGGGGGCTGGAGATCTCCTGGAATTACAATTGATCTCCAGACTACATAAATCGCTTACTTATCATTTATTTATTTAAAACATTTATTCCACTTGTCCTGGAGAGCCAGGTTGGTGTAGCAGAATCATAGAACCATAGAGTTGGAAGGGGCCATACAGACCATCTACTCTGACCCCCTGCCCAATGCAGGACCAGCCTAAAGCATCTCTGACAAATATTTGTCCAGCCTCTTCTTGAAAGCTGTCGGTGAAGGGGAGCTCACCACCTCCCTAGGCAGATGATTCCACCTTTGAACCACTCTGGCTGTGAAAACGTTTTTCCTAATATCCAGCCGACACCTCTCTGCATGTAATTTAAACCTGTTGCTTTGGGTCTGATCCTCTGCTGCCAATAGGGCTGCCAAGTGGGGGCGGGTGGTGGGTAAACCCCCGCTTTGGAGGCCCAATTTCCGCCGCCGGGGGGAACTCTGCCCCCCGAAGCGCAGCTCACGTTGGGGGCATGGCCCCGATTTGTCGGAGGGAAAACCCCTCCGATGATCAGGGCCACGCCCCCAACATGAGCAACATAGCGCGTGACTTCCTGTGACGTGCTGGTGGCGAGCGCAAAGCGCGCGCACACACACATAGCCGGAGAGCTCCCGGAGCCCAGCGAGGCTCCCCCGCCGCCAAGGTAAGTAGACTTGGCAAC